ACCCGCGGGCTCAGGCAATCCACTCACCTCAGCCTCCCAAAGGCGCGGGATTACAGGCTGAGTCACCAAGCCCGGCTAAAACTAATTTTCTTAAGATACCGTTCGTTCAAGAAAAAAAAGCCGTTGTCCAGAAAACCCTAAATGTAACATTTCCTTTCTAGATACACCTTGGAGAAGAGAGGCTATAAAGATACCGATCTGAAAAACTGGCCAAAGTGCAAAAGACTCAAACCTTGGTAATAGACTTTAAGATTATATTGGTTGGGGAAAAAATGAGCGAAACCACCTATGAGTTTAAAAATTACCAAAACTACTATAACAACAACAAACATTTAGCTAAGACACTGCGAAGAACAAACAAGATCTGAGTAAAGCTTTACAATAAAGATTTTAGTTTACTGGGAGGGGCATGTTGAAACACATCTATCAGCGAGGAGTCACCCACACCTTCCTGAAGGCAGGCATGCCACACACGACAAGCCCGAGATGGGTCAGGAGACCAGGAGTAAGATGGGAGTGAGGCTGCCTTGTGGCAGACCAGCCGCTGAGGGACTTGGAGGTGACCCCCTCTTCCTTTAAATAGGAGGAGGAAGCAAGTGATTTCAAGGAATGGAAAGCAGTGAGAAATAGCCCACGCCGAGGAATGAAAAGGGACCCCAAGGTACAGGTGGTTCCTGAGCTCAACAGGCAGTCTCCTGCACTGGCAGACAGGCGCCCCTCTAGTTAGTCATAAGCTACTCTGAATAAAGGTAAGCCTTTGTGAATGAGAGATTACTTGTCTCCTCAAATATATGGGCGTTGTAATCAGCTTGGCATCTGGGAAAGAAAAGAGAGTAAGGATTGTTCTGCTCTTCTGAACTGCTTAGATGAGAGAACACATCTTGATCACCCATACAACATCAGCCCAAAAATACTTGCTCACCTCTACATAAAACAGCCTTGCTGCTCTGATACCTTTACAAAATTTCACAACACCTGGTCAGAAATAGCCTGCCAGACCCAAGTATACTCATTTTAATTTTGATGCATTCTCATTTTTAAATGTTTTCAGCCGGGTACAGTGGCTTATGCCTGTAATCCCTGCACTTTGGGAGGCTGCTTGAACCCAGGAGTTCAAGACCAGCCTGGGCAACATAGCGAGACCTTGTCAATCAATCAATCAATCAATCAATGTTTCTAGGTGATTAATGAATTTATACAAATGCAAAAAATATGTAAATCGAGTAGTAGTTCCTAAAACATTCAAACAGTCATCAGGTATTTAACTTTAAGTCATGACATTTTATGAAACCCATGCGTCCTCCTACATCCTGGAAGAGGACATAGCCGGGTGCTTTTTACCTTGCTGAAGACTATTGTGGAGGCAGCTGACAAACGTCGCTAGTATTGTTGCTACATTCATCACTTGCCAGCACTGGGCAAGACCGAGCGTAAAGAGCTCATTCCAGTAAGCTTTCACCAGCAATATGCTGTTTTCTTGTCTGTTAAAAACAGTAACAAAAGCACAAATCAGGTATTATTAAAATAAGCTTCATAAACTTTACAACAAATCCAAATATTTAAAAGTAAATACTGAACTAAAATTGCTCTAGAAAGACCACTAGGGATGGACCCAACCAATCCTGTTTTGTGCAGCTGAAAATAACTGATGGGGAGTGCTCAGATGTTTCCAGATGAGCTTGCTTGTAATCAATCCGACAGTTTATAAGAATAACTGCTTGCAGTTTTTTAAATCTCACATTTCATGGAAATAAAGATTGTTTTTTAAAACAAATTAAAAGCAAAAGTATATACTTAGAAAAAACTTTCCCAAGTTTTCTTTTGCTTTGAATACAGGTACATTTTCTTTTCATTTTTTAAAAGAATTTAAAGAAAGAATATATTTGAACCACATAAACAAAAAGGTATTACATAAGAAAAAATAATATAACAATTTATGTGAGTACCTAACATACGAGCATGTTCTTATATCTAAAACAAAAAATAAAAAGGTAGCATTGGTATACATTTTCTTTAAAAGGGTAACTGGAATTAATTGACAGCAGGCAAGCAATCAACTTCACAGGAGAAATGGCTCATTCTCTAAGCATGTTTCAGATGAGACATCAGTAAGTGAGATACCAGGATTTTACTGTGAGTAGCAAGAGATAAATAAGAAGGGTCAGAATCCTCTCCTGAATTTCTGAATAAGTAACCTCAGCAGCATAAGGGAACAGAGAAAGTATTAAACCAGAACCAAAGCCCTGGTTTTACATCCACTTGTCTACTTGAAATCAGGCAAATAAACTTCTCAGGTCTCAGCCTGCTTAACTATAAAATGCAGAGGCACCGTATGTCCTGTACCTTGCTTAGAGTTATTAAGGGGTGCAAACAGAAGAATTAGCTGGGCATGGTGGCCTGCGTCTGTAGTCCCAGCTACCTGGGAGGCTCAGGGCGGGAGGTTGGCTTGAGCCTAGGAGTTTGAGGCTGCAGTGAGCTATGATCACACTTGTGAACAGTCACTGCACTCCAACCTGGCATAACAACACTCTATCTCAAGAAAAAAAATAAAGAAGTACATGCCAGGCACTGTCCTAGGCATTAGAGAGATAGCAACTAACAAGACAGCTAAAATTTGCCTTCATGAAAAAGGGAGACATGATCTATAATTTCAAATACTTTATATAAATAACACACAGGACCCATGAGTTTTGGTAATAAAAGCCATACATTACTAGAAGGGAGGACAACACACTGGAAGGTGAAGAGGGTCAGGCCAGGTGGTGAGATAAGGCGTTTCTGAAGTGGTCACATTTTGGTCATTTGAGTGGAGGAAGATGGTAGAGAATGCAAAACAAAACAAACCCGAGCTCCAGGGACAGCAAGTTTCCCAGGAAGAGAGACGGCAAACGTGCCAGGGTTTGAGAAGACGACAGACGTTCAACAGAAACACTGTGTGCCTCTCAATGATGCCGTCTTCCCAAGACACCCTCCTTCCTTGCTTCCCTGGCTGACACCTACTGAACCCAGCTCGGAGCTCATACACCTGCAGAAACGCTCCCTAACACTCCTCTCTCAACACTTTTCATCAGTCCCCTCAGGGCCACCAAGACCTGTCTATCTCCGGCCTGGCTCACGGTAGCCTAACTCGCTAACTCATTGTAGGGTCTGTCTCCCACCCTGAAGGCAGAGACTCCCTCGCGCCTTTCTACAGCTCAGGAACAGAGAGCAGCACAGGGCACAGAGGAGGAATTCTGCAAGTGATTTCTGACCTTGGGGGATGGAGAAGAGGCAGAAGTAAGAACTTTGGAAAGACAGAGTTGGAAATGCTGCAGGCTTAGGCCTTTTTCCAACTAAACAGTCTTTAACCCAAACCCGTAGACTTCATTATAAATGAGGTAGCAAAATTATGAGATTTCTTTTCATGCTCCAAAGAGATGTAAGTCGATAAGAACGTCTTGGTAGGAAATAAGTGTATTCTGACAAATGATTTTCTTTAAACCTCTAAAACTAGGATAATCAGTGCGCTTAACAAAAATCATTCATTAAGGATCATAGACTTCTTCAAGACATCACATTTTGTTAAAGAACTGAACATACTTGAAACAAATGCTAACACTGTCAGCTCAGCAGTCACAGCAAGTAGCTTTTCTCACTGGGAATGATTCGGAGGTGACATTTTAACTCCAGATTATTCTATTTTCCATTCAGTATCTGAGAACGATTACTTGGCAAAAGAAACTGCCTATTAAAATCAATTTGAAAGTACAGTTTAAATGTAGAGAAAAACAGTATTTTAAAATCTCTATATAGAACATGATTTTAAAATATCAATCTTAGTTAAGCAATATCAAAGAAAATAAAAGATAACGAGACATTATTTTCACTTACAAAAGAGAGGAGGAGGTGAGGACGTAACATTTGTGTTCACGCACAGGGCTGTGAATCTGCACTGGCTCGACACCTAGGGCAGCCTGGCAGGACCTATCTGGAGGAGGATAGCACACCTTCTCAGACATGCAATTCCGCTCCTAAGAACCTACTTCACGGAAATACAGGCCTGTGCAGCCCAATATGCTGGTCAACAACGGGCCGTATACATGATGGTGGTCCCATGAGACCACATCCTGTTTTTACAGTACCTTTCCTACATTTAGACACACACATGCTACTACTGGGCTACGACTGTCTCCGGTGTTCAGTGCCGTTGATGCTGTGCAGCTCTAGCCTGGGTGTGTGACAGGCCACTCCATCTAGGTTTACAAAGTGTATTTTTCAGAATGTGTCCCTGTCGTTAAGCAGTGCATGCCTATACTAGCATGACTGTACTAACAAGAGAAGGCAAAACAGATACCCAATGCTACAAGATACACACTGCAGCTCTGAATAAGAAAAGTGGCTACAACCCAAATGGCTGGTAATAAGGAACAAGTAAGTAAACAATAATAAATCTGCAAGATGGAAGACGGGATGGTCACAGAGAAAACCAGGGCAACTGCATGTGTGCCAACACAGGAGGGTGCCAATAAGCAGAAAGGGCAGGGTGAAAACAGGAGGCAGCCATGGCGTGCGTGTGAAACTGCTTAATAAACATGGTGTGGAGACTTCTGGGCATTGGGCAGTCCACTGTCAATAGTGGTGCCAGTCACCCGGAAAGTGAGGTCTTACTTATTATAGTTCTATAATTCAGCATTACTTGAAACGCAAGGAGAAAGTTCAAAGCGCACATGAAAGAAAAGTTGGAAGCAATTCCGTCTTCACCTTGGCCAGGTTTGGAAGTTTTACGGAGGAAATAGCTACCCAAGGGTGTTGACTCGTCTACATGGAAAGGTGAACACTGGAAAGCATCAGCGCGGGCCTGCTCTGCACCTGTCTGAACTGTCTGGGCAGTGCAGAGAAAACAGAAAGGAGGGCAAGAGCGGAGGACGGGAACACCAGCACCATGGCCAGGGGGGAAGGAGGACACTGGAAAGCCACCAGAGGACCGTATTTCCAAAGGAAAAATGAAGTGTGAATTGTGTCAACTGACAAAACCAATTATACCAGTACCATCTATTCACAGTGTTATCCCATACCAAAAAAGGCTCGTAGTACATCTAGCCGTGTAAGGCGTGTTTTTAAAAAGTTCATTAGGTTAGGAAAGCAAGCCCCCAAAAGAAGATCCCCAAGGACCATGTGCACCTATTTTGTAGCGGCGCTGGGTTCGACAGTTTGCACCGATCCTCTCACCTGAGGGCCCCACCGAGAAGCAAGGAGCTCTGCTCTGGGTTACGGACACTGAGCCTCACGTAGGCAATGCGGCCACATGTGCAGGGAGCACATGAAGAAAAACACAATGAGAACCCAACGTTCAACGTCTCTAATCCTTTACAAATCAGTGTACAAAGGAGCAAGTAAACGCAAAGGTCAAATTCCTCACCGGAGGCTCCCCCATCTAAGGTTTACGTTCTGGGATGGTAAGGGCACGTTTGCTGCCAGGCTCTCCTGCCAGGAAAATAAAAATGACTACTGTAGTCCCATTATAGTACCCGTTTTCATTTTTCTAAATAGCCCATTAATAATGTCTAAATACTACCTGTTTTCAAAACATCTTTCCTTGAAGAAGCAAAAGGACCTGGTAGAAAGTGTAGCTAAGGTCTGTCAGACACCCAGAAAGCAAATGTCAAAAAAAAAGGGCCGAATGTGGTGCCTCAAGCCTGTAATCCCAGCACTTGAGAGGCCAAGGTGAGAGGACTGCCTGAGCTCAGAGGTTCGAGACCAGCCTGGGCAACTTGGTGAGACCTCATCTCTAAATAAATTTTAAAAATAAGCCGGGTATGGTAGCGCGTGCCTGTAGTTCTTGCTACTTGGAAGGTTGAGGCGAAAGGATCACCTGAGCCCAGCAGGTCGAGGCTGTGGTGGCAGTGAGCATGCCACTACACTCTAGCCTAGGCGACAGAGTGAGACTCCAACTCACAAAAAAAAAAAAAAGCACTAAGTTGTACAATAGCAAATATGTCCACTTCTTTTACAAACAGGTAGAGATATTTTTCGCTAACTACTGCACTAGATTGTTAATGTTCATTAAAATATGTATGTGGGACTCACAAAGAGAGATGGTACCACTGTTTACACTATTTACTTTGATGAAAGAATATGCCTTTTGTGTCACCTGTACCTGGGAATACCGAAGGCACTGGTTCTCAGGGAAACATATCAGTGACGTGGTGATGAACCCACAAAGCTGCAGTTTCAAACCCACAAAGTTACAGGAAACATTACATTGTTTCAGTAGCACTTTAAAAGGTTAGACTTTTGGACTTGAATTTAGTGGAAGAATGCTTAAATTATTCAGTCAATAGAGTCTCCTGTGGCAACTGGTGGGGCTGGAACTTCTTCTGGCTGTATTTGAAGGATCCAGGGGCAGTGGACAGCTGCCCCACTCACTCCCGGCACAGGGAGCCTGTCAGTGTGAGGAGGAGGAGGAACTCAACCCACTTGAACTCCTCCAAGCTCTGAAAGTACAGATCTCAAACAGAAAGCCAATGTCCTTCTAAATACAGAAGTGATCACGCACTTGTAAAATTCTCTGAGTTACTGTTCCCTTTGATGAAACTAAGTGATCAAAACAAACCTGACTTTTAGAAAATGAATAACGTTGATGATCTGTTTCTCTCTAAATTAGGCCGTTGTTTCCAACGTTTGTATTTAGATATAAAAACACAACTAATGCTTCTGCTTCCACAGACCAGAATCTGTCCACCATGAGCACTCAGTCCTTATCCATCTGATTACGTCAACACACAACCAGGATGGCTGAATCAGAGTCTGCCCAGCAGCCAATGGCCCTGCCTGCTATAGCGATCAAGATGATCCTGTGGCTATTACATTAAAACTGATTTCCAATACAGATCACCGGGCAATATGGTTGCCACTCTAAAACTAATTACTGTATAAACGAAAACCTCCTTAGACCTTATTTTTGGTTTCTTCAACATCTGAATTATTTCCACAGAACAATTACACTCAATTTAATGATATACTTAAGTTTAATGGTGCTGTGAATAATTCAAGAGGTTCAAACCACTTCCAAAAATTCCTTCCTTTGTTTACTGTAATAATTGATAGCTTATGAAAAATTTCACCAGGTTACTTTCCAGGCATAAGTATGTCAGTTACAAGTTTGGTGAACTACACTTAACATTTTAAAATTAGTAAACTGCCAATATGCAATTTTACATTGTATTTTAATCTTTTTCTAAACACACACATACACTGAAAGCTGGGCACAGAAGGCTGAGGCTGGAGAATCATTTGAGCCTACGAGTTTGAGGCCAGCCTGGGCAGCAAAGTGAGACCCTGGCTCTTAGAAAAACAAACATTCCCCCACCCTACCAAAAGAAAAAACAACTGGAAAAATTCTCAAAGTTGAATTTTATTATGAGAGAAAAGGCTAACAAGAACTTGTAAAGGTTAACCATTGTAAATCAGGCAGTCTATGTAACTGCAATATTTGAGTACCTGATTTAATGCATGGCATATCTAGCACTGATTTTTTTTTTTTCTTTTTAATGTTTGTAGTGACAGGGCCTTGCTCTGTCCACCCAGGCTGGAATGCAGTGGCATAATCACAGCTCCCTGTGGCCTCCAACTCCTGGGCTCAAAGCAATCCTCCTGTCTCAACCTCCCAAGTAGCTGAGACTACAGACACGTGCCAGCACGCCTGGCTAATTATTTGTATTTATTTTGGTAGGGTCATTATATTGCCCAGGCTGATCTCTAACTCCTAGCCGCAAGCAATCCTCCTTCCTCAGCCTCCTTGTGCCTGGCTTCTAACACTGATTTTAAAAACCAAACTATAATACTAAATATGCCTTTATTCATTTCTCTGTATGCCTTTTACACTCATGATTCAGATGTTTCTTAGTTAAGCTCAAAATAGTGTCTAAGGATATAGGATGGGCAGGTATTTTTCCCACTGGTCAAACGGAAGAACAGACGGACAGGAGGTAAAAGAGAATTGATTACAACATCATACGGGGGAACAGCATCCTAGGAGTAAATATTTTCCAGCTCTGGAGCTAACATTTTCCACTGCTTTGCCTTTTCAGAATAAGCTCACTTAAAGCACTCCAAATTAAATGTGGCAGACTTAGGTGAAGCTTGGGTTTCTTATGGAGGCTGTTTTCCATTTTCTGACGCTTCAGAGCAGGGTTGAGTTGTGCTCCTTGGTGTTGAGGCCAAGCCTCTACACCACTGGAGTGGGGCTGCCAAGGTCGACACTTCCTTTCCTTTTGAAACCACAGGACTGGAAAACAATTACTCATGTTTTCAACATCACCACTGTGAGCACGCTTCAGTTCACTGGATGAGGCCGGGAATGACACTGAAGCGGTGGTGGCTGGGGAGGAGCGACCGCCCAGGGCACCCGTGCAGGGGAGGGGAGCGACTGCCAGGGCACCCCCATGGAGGAGGGGAGCCACCGCCCAGGGCACCCCCACGGGGGAGGGGAGCAGCCACCCAGCACATCCATGCAGGGGAGGGAGCCACCGCCCAGGACATCCATGCAGGGGAGGGGAGCCACCGCTCAGGGAACCCCTGCAGCCTCCCTGTCTTTGAGCCGATGGAAGCTGGGGCCTGTTATACATGCTAGCCGTCATCTGTCAACTCCACCTATTATATTCCTCCCAAATGACTAATTCAGTAGAATGATGAACCATGGATACTCTTCCACATAAAAACAACACAGGGAAAGTACGACTTGGCTGCCAGGGTTTGTCATACGAATGACACAACTTGAAGTAATGAATTGCCCCATTCTTTTCCTTTAGTGCAAACCCTCCCCAAAGAAGAGTTCTTGTTTAGTACATATTTTGCTTCAAAATCACATTTGCATCCAAGGGCTTCAAACACTCACCCTAGAGCCTGGAAGGAAGGAATCGAGAGTGCCCAGTGCATGGACAAGAACAGCAGCCTGGAGGCAGACTCTCCGATGTAGTGCACGTTCAGGTCTTCGGGCATGGGAGAAGGCATGGCGAGCTACAGACAGGAGTCAGGCAGTCAGCACGGGACGGCAAGGGCTGCGTTTGCAGGTCTTTGAACACGGTGCATGTAAACATAACATGTCAACTGAGTCTAACATGGTCACAAAAAAGGCTCATCTCGAAGTAATCCAAGCCACTGGATTTTGTCGTGAACAACTGGGTTTAGAACACATGGGTCAGACCCCAGTTTCTAACAGACCCAGATTCAGATGAGCAGAATCACATTCATGAATATCGGGCATGAAACACCTGGTTGTGCTTTTTAAAGTTCCTTCCTGGGGAATGCCCTGGGGTCCCTTCCCATCGTGGGAGCTTTTCTGTCCTCTAAATAAATCCTGCTTTCTCACACACACATGCAAATTCCTTCCTGTCTTGCTCTAACAACGTGCGTTTCTCCTTCCCTCTTTCCATCAGCAATAGCATGCAAGAAGTCAGTTTAAGGAGCGATCCTGTATGCTAAATGTCCCTCCGGGGTGAACAGGTTCGGATGCGTACAGGGCCAGGAGAGGAAAGGGTGAAACGGCCTTGCTGGCACCGACCAAGAGACACACTCCCAGACACAGGGCCCCGCTGCCACGTGAATTCAGCACAACAAAGCATGTGGGCACTGGTGCCCAGCACAGCTAGCTCTTCCAGCTCTTCAGAGAGCAAGTTCTGTATGAGTCTTCCTATTTAAAAAATTGGTACCGAATAAAGTACTTTTAAAAGCATTCTACAGTACAGCACACCACCCGCAGGTGGTCAGTCTGTACTGCTGGCCTCAGGGAGTTCTTTCCGATGTCTGACCACCACTGAGAATGCACATCCTGCCTCAAAAACACTCTGCAAAGAATCTTCAGCATCTCATTAGGAGAACATGAGTGCTCTAAATGACATGTGAGCTCATCCGTCAGAAGCCTTTTTCTAAGTACAGAAATTATAACTAGAAAAATTATAATTATAACTGTAATTATTGGGATAATCAATGTTATCAAGTATAGTGAGGATACTGAAAAACAAGTACAGCACTCACACTGCTGAGATGGGCAAACTGGAGCGCAACTTGGCTGTTAGTTACCAAAATTTTAAAAATGAGCATATTCTGTGACTTAGTACCACTTCTAAATTTTTGTTCTGGCAAAATACTTGCACACATGTACAAAAATGCACAACAGGGGTGTCCACTATAGCTATAGTGAAATTAAGGTTGGCAGTGACCCAATTCCCACCACGAGGGAGAATAAAGATCCGGGCTGGGCAGGGAGATGTGTCCACATGGACTTTTCTAGGGAATAAATATGCAGCTTTCGTCAGATACTCGCAGGTTGTCTATGGAGTTACCAGATCAAAAGGTTTTCTTCCAAAAATTATCTAGAAATATTAGATTAAAAATTCATCTAAAAAGGCTTGAGGTTTGAAACAAACAAAAATATTGCCTAAAATATAAAAAGATAACTGCCTTTGTTCAATATTAGCCACAAATGGCACGTCTGTTTATAAATGTGCCAAGTAGTAAAACGACAGGGCAGTTAACAGTCAAAACTCCACAAACAAGAAGACAATTTTTAAGTGTTTAAGAAATGTTTACTGGAGCAGTAAGTTAAAATAGTTATTTAAGATGATTTTTAGAGAACTGTAGGCAAGTAAAGATTAAACGTCGTAAACATAATGATTAGGATGCAACTGTTCCTACACAAGTGTGTACTGAAAAAAAAGAGAGAACTTTCAGACCTTTTCAGAATTGCTCAAAGTGAGTAGGACAAAAAGGCCTGGAAAATAAGGGGAATTACCAAAAATTATTAGTTTTAGGCAGAAGGGGTAAGATACAAACAACAAGAAAGAATAACTTCTGCTAAACAGTTTGAAATTGCCTTTAAAAAGAAAAAACTTGTAATGCGTAAAAAGTGAATCTAATGGTTCTGATTTACACACTGAAAACTTTCTGCTGCTTTCATCATGAAATAGAAATGGTTTGTAATGTAAGCTAAAGGAACTCATTGAAACTATTATACCATGTTGTACTATTTTATAAAGAGGGGAAGTGGGCTGGGCGTAATGTCTCATGCCTGTAATCCCAACACTTTGGGAGGCTGAGGAGGGAAGACTGCCTGAACCCAGGAGTTCAAGGCCAGCCTGGGCAATATAGCAAGACCTTGTCTCTACCAGAGAGAGAGAGAGAGAGAGAGAGAGAGAGAAAGAAAGAGAGAGAGAGAAAGTGTCTTATAATTTGCCTGTTTACATTTCTAACACACCTCTAGCGTTATGAACCAGAAAGCTAATGCTGGCTGAAGAAACAATAATCTGTTCGACAAGTCTTTCAGACTTGAAAGACAAAGGTTTCTTCCTCCACACAGGAGGTGAGTTTCTACAATAAAGACGTAACAGCTTTCCCAAGATGTCTGTGGATTTGAATGACACATTCTTTTATTTTGAAAAAGTTGAATGCCTCCTGCTGAGTGTGTAGACCAACGTGTCTTAGAAGACATTGCTTGCCTCTACGACGATCTGCCCAGCAGTCTCTGTGCTGACGCCGAGAAGGGCCTGCATGCCTCTGCCTTTGGGAGACCTGGCCCCTGCTTCCGGCTCCCAGTACCTGTCTGCCCCTGGTTGACACACTCCCTCATGGGGCGTGCCAAGTGCTGTCATCTCAGGGACGAACTCGATGAAAATGCCAAGGGCTGAGAAGGGAATGGCCCAGGGGAGCAACGGGCAGCTGGATCAGAACCTGGGCCCCAAAAGGTCACGGCATGCAGGCCGGACTCAACCCCACATGGACACGGGGAAGCTACCGGAGGCTCTCAGGCTAATGAGATGAGCCCTCAACAAACAACACACTGGTACCCACACACAGGACAAGTGGGGGAGACCAGAAGCAAAGGTATCACTGTAAGAGCTCAAGAAAGAAAACGTGGAAGGCCCCAAAGATGGCAATGGAGATGCTGACGAAGAAACCCAGGCTCAAGAATGGCGAAGGTTTGACTATGGACTGGAGGAGGGCGGGGCCGGGGAGCATGTGACAGCTCCCCCGGGCCACCAAGGACCGGAAAGCCTGTGGTTTTGGCATGGCGAGCACAGGCACGAGAAGACAGCCTGGGAGGTGCCTCACGTGTCTCGAGAACAGGAGCACCACATACCATGACATCACTGAGGGACATTGCAAGAACCGCGTGAAGTAGGGTGCCCAGAACTCTGGAGCTTGGTGAGAACGTTGATGACGACTGGCCTGGATTTTTCAGTTTCATTACTGCACCCTTTCCCCACTACCTGGATTGCTTTCAATAAGACACTGAAAATCTCGAAATATTTCTTCATTCACAACATGAGAATACGAACCCTAACCTCCACAAGACAACCTGGTGAGGCTCCAGTGAAAGAGTGTACTTGCAAAACGCTGCCAACCACAGTCTAAACAAAACACCACAGAGAAGCTGAAGGTCACTGAGCTCAGCAGGAAGAGAGGATGGAGACTTTTCATTAGAGAAGTCTTGAAACCCACGGCCAGGAAAACCTCAGGGAGAGAGTCAACCACGAAACTACCAGGCTCTAGGAGCTCAGCAGGGAAAGCACTGAGCAGCAAAGCACTTGACTTCACAGGCCTGTAAGAGTCAGAGAAAGAGCTGTCCTTCCCAGGGGAGCAGGAAAATGCAGGGTTCACTGTGAGAACACCCAGAGTGCAGGTGGTCAAAGACGGAAGGAAAACAGTTCCAGAAACAAACCAAAAAGCTCTAACGTGCCAAATTCATCTGTCCAAAACATTTCAGAGAGTCAGCTATTCTGAGGACCCACGTCAACAATAAAAAAGGCCAACGACTTCTACCTCCAAAGAGTGACCGGTGTTTTTCCTTGCAATGGGTCTTCTTCCTACATCGGTCTCATTTTATCCTTCCTCCCATTTAAATCCTAAGGAAAAAGTAAAACTAAGAAAACAAAAGATTGCCTTTTACTTAGAATAAGAAAGAACAACAGGAAACATCAAGCTATGCCTTGTTCCACACTTGTCCATAGCTTCTGCCATAATTTTTACGAAAAATATTGGCTGGGCACGATGGTGCACACCTGTAATCCCAGCACTCTGGAAGGCTGGGGTGGGAGGACTGCTTGAGGCCAGGAGTTTGAGATCAGCCTGGACAACATAGTGAGATCCTTTCTCTACAGAAAATTGAAAAAGCAGCTGGACGTGATGGTGTGCACTTTTAGTCCTGACTGCTTGGGAGGCTGCAGTGGGAAGACCACTTGAGCCAGGAGCTCAAGGCTGCAGTGAGCTATGATTGTGCAAATGCACACCACCTGGGTGACAGAGGGAGACCCTGTCTTAAAAAGAAAGAAAGAAAAAGAATGATACTGGTTATTCCAATTATTTTTATAGCATCCATAAAAAGTTTTCCTGTATAATGTAGATAAAACATTTCTAATTTTTCCCATGTCTTTAGTAAAAGGTTACATAATTAGGTTTCACTAATATATTATTGACTATTTTCAAAGTACATCAATTATTTGTCACTGTGAGTGTTCTCTGTGGCTATTTCTACCAAGTCAAATCTTACACACAAAAATTACTACATGCAATTCTGGCAATGTGCCACCTGCCTTGCGTTATTTCTACCAGGAACACACATACCTATCTGATAAGTGCACATATTCCGAAGAAATCCATGGCGTTTTATCAGCCATAGCAAATTATGAGACTCACTCCCAGGTGTTTCAAGACTGCCATATTGCTAAGTGAAACCTTCTCTGTACTCTCAGTGGTTCTGCACACATCTTGCTAACAAAATCCACGCGGGTAGAACACCACTGCCGAATGGCTAAAACAACAGGGATCAGAGCCGCAGGCTCTCGGTGCAGGTCTCGACAGCGACTGCATCTCTAGCTCTGATTCAGACCTTAGTTGGAGGACGAATCAAACAGTCGAAAGCGATTTTCCAGTCTTCTACATGTATTGCTTTCACCATAAATAAATGTATTTGGGGGAACAAAATAAATTGCAGGCGTGCCTTCTCCAAAATGGTTTGAAAGCGAAAACGTTAAAAACCAAAGGTTAAAATGTATTAAATAATTTACACCTTATAACAGTGCTGAAAGCTAGTTAATTACAGGGATACGTAGCAAATGAAATCCCATGTAGTTACTATGTAAGAGCAAAACATCTGAGTCTTAGATCCTGATTTACACTACAGGAGTAGCTAGGCATTAAAGAAAAGCAGTGCATCCAACACCACATGAAAGCCAATACGTAAAGTTTAAAAAAACCACCAAAACCTATGTTACAGTAGTTCTAAAATCTAACTTTTATAGACTTAGGCCCACTAACTGCTGTGACAACTGACTTATAAACAGGATGCTTTACTGAGACAGTCTCATATACACCCAGACGTGTAGCTTTTAGCTGCTATTCTGAATTTCTATCAGTGATATTTCTGGCACAACAAACATATTCTGATTGTTGAAAGGAAGATCGAAATCAAATGATAACACAACATCAAAGTAAAAAAATCCCAGAAATACCCTGAAAGCTACATGGGAATCACTGAGAAGCGGCCCCTCCTTCTCGATGTAGTTAGTGCTCGCGTCTCCAGCCATCAGGTGCACACCTCCGTCCACACCCTCCATGGAGCCCTGACAGGCTGCACTCTCTCCAGGACTCAATGCTTTCGCAAGAGTGTCAAATGCCCTGGAAGGAGACATCAGAAGCTGGTGAGCTTGGCCAATCTCCACTATAAAATAACAATTCCATACAAAGTTCTGGACTTAAGAACTACGCCTAAAATATTGTTTAGACAATAGAACTCTGGTGTATACTGAACATTCTAGTTCACTGACATCTACAACTCTTTCTGGAAGCAACAAATTACATTTCCTATGTATGGTAAGAAATACTAGATTAGCCAGGCTTGGTGGCTCAGCCTGTAATCCCGCACTTTGGGAAGTTGAGGTGAGTGGATTACCTGAGCCCGTGGGTTCGAGACCCGCCTGGCTAACTTGGCGAGACCTCATCTCTACAATAAATCAAAAAATTAGCTGGGCGTGGTAGCGCGCGCCTGTAGTTCCAGCTACTTGGAAGGCTGAGGCGGAAGGATCGTGAAGCCCAGTAGGTCGAGGCTGAAGTGGCTGGGAGCATGCCACTGCACTCCAGTTTGGGTGACAGAGTGAGACTCCAACTCAAAAAAAAGAAAGAAATACTAGATTGTCACATTCAGGTATTATGAGGGAGAAAAATCCTCATGCTTTGGTAGAAAATACACTTTTAAAGGTTATACATTTGATACTACAAGTCCATTTATTTTATTTTATACACAGAAGTTACAAAGAACAAGGGTGAAAACCTATGTTGACTTAACTATTATTTTACACAATAAAAAGTTAGGTCCTAATTTTATTTACAAATTCAGGAAATATTTTTAAACTTGTGGTTATGTGCTTACATCAAACTGTGAGTCTGAGATTAGAATGCAAAATTAACCAATGTTAGCAAATAATTATTCAAAATAGTTCCCCATATTTTTCAATACTAGTCCTCTTAGAGTTCCTTAAAATTTCATGTTTAACAAAGTACTTATCATGAGTCTTACATGCAGTTTACTCACCAGTTTTTTTTTTGTTTTAGAAGTAGGTTCTCACTTTGTTGCCCAGGCTGGACTTGAACCTCTGGGTTCAAGCAATCCTCCCCTCTCAGCCTCCCAAGTAGCTGGGACTACAGTCGTGAGCCACCACATCTAGCTAGTCCTTAAAATTTTTCAGAGACAGGGTTTTGCTATGTTGTCCAGACTGGTCTTAAACTCCTGGCCTAAAGGAATCCTCCTGCCTTGGCCTCCCAAAGTGCTGGGAATACAGGTATGTACCACCATGCCCAGCTCTTACAATATGGTAAATAATAAACAGAAGTGTGGGGAAAACCTAAATTTATATTCTACATCCTACTAACACTGTCAGAACAAAAAATGAACTTAATACTGTTTTCCTCAAGTGTAACTTAGAACTGTAGTTGAGTCAACCAAGTCTTTTACAGTAAGAAACAAGGTCCTCCTAGAATACAAGGAGGACTGACATGGCTGCCTGAAGACAAATGCTTTCCTCCACACACACAGAAGACAGAATTCAGCAACTAAAGTATTTGAAACGTCGGGTGCAGATTATCATCTTTAGAGGAAAAAGAATTCCTAAATTTGTAGGCTACATTTCTAATCCTATCATTTCACTTACTGATCTTGTTCTTTGGAACGTAACCTGCTGGACATTTTATACTAAACACTGGTTTTGAAGTACAACTTGCTATGCCTTAAAATGTCCAGATCTAACTGGCTGGGCTTCCCTAATACTAAAAATCGGAATGCTTCGAAATCTGAACCTACTTGTTCACCAACGTGACGTCATGGCGGAAAATCGCACACCTGAACCCATGTGACGGGCCAACCTCATCTTTGCTGCACGTGCTTGATTCCCACACGCAAACTTCCCCCAGAGGATAATAAAAGGGCACTGTGCAGGCCAGACACGCACGGGCAGGCTACCACGATGCCCCCAAGGGCCAAGACCCACGTGACTCACGGTGATGTTTGGCTCATTCTCTGCTCTGTGATGCCGAGACATTTTTGAAAATATCTAAAAGGTCTGCACGGTACCCATCAGGTAATACACATACTACAAAATCCGAACAATCTGAAATGGGAAATATTTCTAGTCCTAAGCATTTTGGGTAAGGGATAATCAACCCATACTTTTTTTCTGGAACCTCTATACATAGTATTTAGCATAAAAATATTTTTATGAATACTAAAAAACACTTAAAGAAAAGGATACTTAAGATCAAAATAGATCTTACCTTGAAACATCACTGTTGGTCTGCATTTCTTGATGCAATTCACACAAAGAGGTACCACCATTGCTTAAGTTATCAATCATAGATATCTCATTACTATTTTGAGAAAGATCTTTAGTTTTTCCAAGATTTGCTAATGATGTAACCACACTGGCCAACGTACTTAAATCTCCCTGACATGATTCAGCCTTTAAACAAACAAACAAACAAAAAAGGAGTATTAAAATTCTGTAAACTGGTATCAATATTTATATAATCTATAATACCCACTTTTAGATTATGGAACACCAAAATAAATATAATAAATGAAACCTAGAAACTAAAATCAAAGAGCTCCAAGCTTTCAGAAATTTCTTGAGTAAAATATTAGTTTATTCGTCACCCGGCTGGGGAACTTGGCGAGACCTCATCTCTACAATAAATAAAAAAAAATCACCCAGGCGTGGTAGCACACGCCTGTAATTCCAGCTATTCAGAAGGCTGAGGTGGAAGGATTGCCGGAGCCCAGTGGGTCGAGGCTGCGGTGGCCGGGAGCACTCCAGTTTGGGTGAGAGTGAGACTCCAACTCCCAACTCAAAATATATATATATATATATATTAGTTTAAAAATATCAGATATGGCCAGGCCATAGCCTATAATCCCAGCACTTTGGGAGGCCGAGGTTGCGGATTCGAGACCTGCGGATTCGAGATCAGCCTAGGCTACATGGTGAAACCTCGTCTCTACAACAAATCAGAAAATTAGCTGGGTATGGTAGTGTGCGCCTATAGTTCCAGCTACTTGGAAGGTTGAGGCGGAAGGGTCGCCTGAGCCCAGCGTGTAGAGGCTATGGTGGCTGGGAGCATGCTACTGTACTTCAACCTGGATGATGGAGGTAAGACTCCAAATCAAAAAAAAAAATTAAATTAAATAAAAAATATATATCAGATACATTTCTTAAATGTTTATGCAAATTACTTTAAACAAAACTGCACTTAATCACCAATCTACCATGCACAGTCATTTCTTCTTTTACACAAAGATATTAGACAATTTATAAAAGGATATACACTCTGATACTGTTATGACAGTTTCCAAAACTTATTCTATAAACTATAAACTTGTATAGAAATGTAAAGAATTGATACTGGCTGGGTACGGTGGCTCAAGCCTATAATCCCAGCACTTTAAGAGGCTGAGGTAAGATGACTGCCTGAGCCCAGGGGTTCAAGCCCAGCCTGGCAACATGATGAGACCTCATCTCTACAATAAATCAAAAAAACTAGCTGGGCGTGGTGGCGTGTGCCTGTAGTTACGGTTACTTGGAAGGCTGAGGTGGAAGGATCACCTGAGCCCAGCAGGTCGAGGCTGTGGTGGTCCGTGAATGTGCCCCTGCACTCTAGCCTAGGTGACAACAGAGTAAGACTCTGACTCAAAAAAAAAAAAAAAGAACTGACACGAGTGAAAAGTGGGAAAAAAGGCCAACATATTATTTAACAGACTCCCTGGTATACCAGCTTCTACTGTGGTTTCTGGCTTAGTCTCTGTTCTGTGATGCCAAGACATTTTTTACAATATTGAAAAGGCCCCCATGGCACCCATCAGATCATGCACATATTCCAAAACCCAGCAGACACTGTTTTAACTGAACATGCTATGTGCCAGGCAGTGTGCTAAGAAGCGGGCCAGCTGTCCACTGTCCTCTTTGCTTTGTCCTCCTCGAGATGAACATCTTCCACATGGCTAAGACACGTGTCTCTGGTACCCACTGAGTGCTGTCCTGATCGTCTTCATGCTTTATGTCTGCCAATTGGCAGACGTTCTTTGTGCACCAGCTATAATTCTTTTACGAAAAAGGATTTTCTCTCCTAAACTGCTTGATTATCCAGAAATATAGTTTGTACAGGGAAGGCAGATAAATGCTTGATTTCTCCCATTTAGTTCTCAATTTTCAGAGCAACAAGTGGATGCCCTAGCAACCTTGAAGGGTGACAGATGAACTGTTCTGAGCATTATTTTAAATTAATAGATCTTTTATATATTTGTTTATTAAACTCCTTTAAAAATGTTTTCCCATCCTCATCTAATGAGAGGCTTTTTAAGTTGCCTTGCCTTAAAATTATAAATAAATAAATATATAAATATAAAATTTAAAAAATAAGATGCCTTATTGGTACTTTTTTGACAAATACTTCATGGTTTTTGTTTTTGGTGTAATTAACCATGAAGTAATGCATGTCTTTCCTTGAGGTTTCATTTGTTATAACTCCTCCTGGCCAGGCACAGTGGCTCACACCTGTAATCCCAGTACTTTGGGAGGCCAAGGCAGGATGATCGTTTGACCTAGGAGTTCAAGATCAGCCTAGGCAACATACCAAGATCTCATCACTACAAAAAACTTAAAAAGTAATCAGGCGATACAGGTGATACACACCTGTAGTTCCAGCTACTTGGGAGGCTGAGGCAAGAGGATCGCCTGAGCCTAGGAGGTCAAGTCATCATCATACCAATGCACTCCAGCCTGGGCAACAGAGTGAGACTCCAAATCATAAATAAATAACCCAAACTGAAACCCAATTCTTTAGCTTACGTGAAATTTATTTGAGTTAATAAGTAGAATACAATAATTTTGTGCCCTGCCCAAATTCATCAGTGGTCCCAGAATAATTTACTGAACACCTCATCAGTTGCAAAGTTCTTACATGATTACTCCTTATATATGTATACATAATCCCCATAACAACCCTATGAAATAGAAATCAGCACCATTCTGTCTCCAACAAAGAGAATGACCCCCATGCTCAGGTAGTAACCAGTTGAGGCAGGACTGGCCGCCCACACAAGCTCGTGTCTTTGGCCACTGCTCCAAGCAGCCTTGTCACATGTGGGTGGGCGCAAGCATAGCACTTGCCTTTTTTTTTTTTTTTTTTTTTTTGAGTTGGAGTCTTACTCTGTCGCCCAGACTGGAGTGCAGTGGCTGCTCCCGGCCACCGCAACCTCAACCTGCTGGGCTCCAGCGATCCTTCCGCCTCAGTCTTCCAAGTAGCTGGAACTACAGGCACTTGCTACCACACTCGGCTCATTTTTTGATTTATTGTAGAGATGAGGTCTTGCCAAGTTGCCCAGGCGGGTCTCGAACCCGCGGGCTCAGGCAATCCACTCACCTCAGCCTCCCCAAGTGAGGGATTACAGGCTGAGCCACCGAGCCCGGCAGCACTTGCCATTTTTAAGTGTTATTTTCAACCAATACTGAGCAGCTATTCTCTTCCATTTAGCAACATATCTACCTAGATTTTAAAGTTTTGTCACTGAAGAATCTCAGGCAACATAAAAAAAAAAATCTCATCCTGTGACTTCACAGTTTTAGAGTCACGTGTTAGAGAAACTTACGGAAGATGGTTACAATTTAATACAAAGGCACATGCAAAAGCAGTGTCTGGGCAAATCAGTCCCTCAGCAAAACTCAGTTCCCTTATTCTTCTAAAGGAGTTGGTATGTCAACGAAATTGCGGTTACCATTCTAGCCCTGAATCACATGGACAAGGATAAGCAAAATTCTAGAAAATTCCAAAAAACATGCCAAGAAGCCAGACTGCCACACTTAGTAACCACATGTTGCAGTCCAACCTGGAAGGTGGCAATACAGTTTGGATGTTCGTCTCCTCTAAACCTGCTGAAATGTGATCCCTGTGTTGGAAGTGGGGCCTGGTGGGAGGTGTCTGGGTCATGAGGACAGATCCCTTGTGGATGGCTTGGTGCCCTTCTCACAGTCATGAGTCCTCGCTCTACCAAGTCACTCAAGAGCCGGTTGTCTAAGAGAGTCTGGCCCCTCCTCCTCTCTATGGTTCCGGTTCTTGCCAAGGGACACGCCTTCTCCGCCTCCTGCCATGGCTGGAGGCTTCCCGAGGCCTCACCAGAAGTAGAGCTCAGTACCAGGCAGAACTGTGAGCCAAAACAAAACTTTTGTCTTTACCAATCACCCAGCCTCAGGTATTTCTTTATAGCAATGCAAATGGACAGATACCACAGACACCCTTACTATTCTTATTTTACAGATGAGGAAAGCAAGAGACACTGATAGTCAAATAACTTGTCTGAGGCTGTGCAGCTAATATGTGGCACATAAAATGTGATTTCTGAGCCCAAGTATTTAGAACGCCTTAAAGCATCAAGCAACACATATGTAACAAATCCAGCAACAGATAATCTGATAACTTAAGTCAAAAGTTACATAAAGGACAAATAATCTTGCAGCTCATATAAAACCAGACGCCACTGCAAGCTGAGAGAAGCCCTCATCAAAGGCTCCCTAAAATCTGGTATTTTTGTTTTTGTTTGTACAAAGGCAGGTTCTCACTCTGTTGCCTAAGCTGCTCTCAAGCCATCCTCCTGCCTCAGCCTCCCAAGGTGCTGGGATTATAGGCACGAGCCACCATATACGAACCCTAAAATCTGTTTTCAGATATGCATTTTCAGGAAAAAGTTTGCTTCTTGTTCTCATAAGGGGTTTCTGAAAAGTATAAACTTTACATGCTCAGTCTAAATAAATCAACCTTTTTTTCTTTAGCCCCCTTGCCCAGTACACAGAGCAAACGGAGCAGAAAGTTGCTCATCTCTAAGAGAACCAGACAACCTGAGCATGTAACAGGAGGGGCTGGCAGGCCACTCTTCTTTGCTCAAATCAGTCTTCTGACTAGGGAGTGCTAAGAATGTCTCTTCACCAACCAAGAGTCGAGCTTCCGTACCATCCGGCAATCCCCTTCTCGGGAATATACCCAGAGGAACATAAATCCTTCTACAAAAAAAACACCTGCACACATATGTTTACTGCTGCACCTTTTACAATAGCAAAAACATGGAACCAACCCAGATGCCCACTGAAAATGGACCAGATAAAGAAAATGTGGTCCATATACATGATGGAATATTATGCAGCCATAAAGAACAAAATCATGGCCATCGCAATATGGATGCAGCTAGAGACCATCATCCTAAGTGAACTATGGCAGAAACAAAGAACTGAATACCGCATGTTCTCACTCGTAAGCAGTGGACCCTGAACACTAGTCACACGCACATAAGAGTGGGACTGGCAGACAGCGAACAATGCTGGCTGAGGCAGGAGGGTGTGTGGCAACACCCTGGGTACCCAGTTCACTAACAAGGGAGAGGGGCACCTGGAAGACCAAACTTCACAGGCATGCAACCTACTCATGCAGGAAAGCCCCACTTGTACCCCACAACTCTAAAAAAAAGAAAAAATTCTCTTTATACTAACAAATCTGCAGGGAACCCTAAAAGGGACATTAAAAATTTTGCACTAGTAAATTTCTTTTTCTGAGGACTTTTATTTCAAGATGAAAGAAATTGTTAGAACATTAAGTGTTTGTTGATTTCATGTTGACGCTACAATTGTCCTAATGGAATAAAGACTATTTCTACCAAACAGTTGATAATTTATGTTTTAAGAAAAGCAACACGTATGGAGAATACTTAAACAAATCAATTGACCAAAGTGATGGGAAAGACACAGAAAATGAAACATTTAAAAAAGTTTAAATAGTACTAAACACACCTTATCCGATGTCATCAGCATAGCTGACTCAGTTTTTATTCCAGACTGATGAATATTCACAAACATTCCTGAATCTAACAGTCCTGTTGACCTGGAACAAGTAAGCACAAACCTCAGCCTTGGTTTCACTGGGGAGAAAGCCAAGAGACCAGGCACTTCCCAACTGCCTGTCTCGCCATACCTTGCAGTCTCACTGTCTGTCGCGAAAGTCGGAGTGGCAGCCGATGGGCTCCGGAGGTCTTTCCGGATGTAGATTTTTTCTGTTGAAGCAGCGCAGTTGGAAGATCTTTCTCGTGATACCTCGATGGGTTTTCTTTCACACTGAACAGCTGCAAAAACACATGCAACTATTATATCCAAATAAAGCACTTGGAGGCAGTTACAAACGTGAGCTCTAGTCGGCAACGCAGATGACGGGAGATGTGGCTGCCACACTGAACTGCCCAGATGACCGCCAAGCTGGAAATCACGTGCGAGTCCAGCAGCAGCTTCAGGGGAGGGAGACCGGCCATTTGTGTCTCTCGCCCTCTCTCTCCGCTTCCCCATTCCTGGGGTAGAAATGTAGAGGAACCCCTCTTTTTAAAAGCTCATAGAAAGAACTGAAGTTAGGAGGAGCTTTCCTATCTGTGTGAGAGCTAAAAAGATGAACTGAAATGAAATCAACTGAAAATAACACTGACAGAAGGACAGAGAAAGGCCTAAGATCTTTATTTAAATAAGGACAAGGAGATTTCTGAGAAGTAATTCAACTGCTGGTCTTCGTTTCTCAAATGCCGGTAACATGGAATACCTAGAGAGATTTTAGCTCCTAACACTGAGGAAAGAGTGCAGGGCTGCTGTCAAACGGCCAGGTTCAAAGCCAAGTTCTGCCATGTCTGAGTTGGGCGACCTAGGGCTGGTTTTCCAGCCTCTCGGTTTACTGAGGGTAACGTGGGGCAGGTCAGTGCACGTGAAGAGCTGCCAGGAGAGGAGGATGATGCCGCTGTCCGCTAGCCGGCCTGGCGCGGCAAGGGCTCAGTCAGTACCGACTACCTGATGGTCTTACTCGTCACTGTTAGACACCTAATCAGCAAGGAAACTGCTATCTAGCTAGACTTTTTGCCAAATTCAAACTACAAATACATGCTCGTGACATAAGCAGCCAGTATACATTGGCTGAATAAATTAAAAATGCATACATATGTATATGCATTCTTATGCTTTCAGTGAAAAACTATAAATTAAAACACATGTATGTGACAAGTTTTACGTATGTCAATAACGGACATATTTTAACGTGCTAAGTGGAATATGCATCTAGTCTGCTGGCATCCTTAAGAGTATGCTCCTTAAAAGCTCATACATACAGTCTTGCTTCATTCCAAACGCAATACATCTCTGTAACCTGCAGTACTGGCAGCGGTTTCGGTGGTGCTTGTTAATAATACAATCCTTTGATCCTCGACACGAATACACTAAATTTTTTCGGATGCTTCTTTTAAAAAATCCTTTGCAGCCTTCACAAGTTACTGCTCCATAATGACGTCCTAGAGATAATATGTTCAAGAAAACACAAAAGTCATACTATTTTAGAACAGAAACAAGCCCATTTCTTCCCCTTAAACAGCAACATGCAAGAGGAAACTGAGACTTCTGAGTTTCTGACATAAAAAACACTTTTAGAAGTTATCCAAGAATGATAAATTCATATTTTCATAAAATGAACAATGTGAAGTTTTTTTTTCTTTTTTAAAGACAGAGTCTTGCTCTGTTGCCCAAGCTGGAGGACAGTGGTACAAACACAGTTCACCGTAGCCTTAACCACTCGGGCCCAAGTGATCCTCTCTAGTAGCTGGGGCTAAGATATGCGACCACAATGCTTGGCTGTTTGTTTGTTTTTTTTAATGATGGGTTTTGCTATGTTGCTCAGGCTGGTCTGGAACTCCTGGTTTCAAGTGATCCTCCCACCTTGGCCTCCCAATGTACTGGAATTACAGGTGTGACCCATCACACCTGGCTCTAAATTTTGTAAGGTATGATAAACATGATATGAAAAATTTGGGAAGGAGAACAAAATCCCCATAATCCCATTATTATAGTGAAAAACTATTTTCACTTCTGAGCATACACACAAATTTCAGTTGTTACATACTGAAAATTATGCCCCAGAAGACATACAATGTCAGCTAGTATTTGAAATATAATAATGCTCCTCCTCATTGTGAGTTCTGCTTTTGAAACAACTGAAGAAATCTGCTATACTTTGATTAACCTGCTACATCACAAGTCATACTGAACAAACTGAACATACGCTGAAAAAACCTCTTATGGAAGTTTTTGCAATGAAGCTTTGGAAAAGATTAATGAAATCAAACCGGGCCCTTTACATCCTGCTGGCATTTGTGAATGGACATGATCAGACACAAGCGTGTATTTTTGGCATGAAGTAACAATGGCCAGAATTAGCCTGAGTTAACCCGTGTACTAGCAGTACTAGCAGCAGCTTTAATGAGACTGCTCAGTTATGCAGAGCATTAAATAAGGGCTAATCAGAATCTTCCATCTCAATAACTCAAATCACTCTTGTCTTCTGAAACAAGGCCAAAGAGGTAGGTTAAAACTTAATGTAATATGTTATTAAGGATCACAACTCCTAATTTTAAATGATTCTTCTGCCAAAACTTCTAGCTTTTACATTCAAAAATTTTTCTACATGTTTACTTTCAAAAAGTGAAACTTTTCATAATCTCCTGAAATAGGTATTTTACACCATACAAGTCAAATTATACTGAAGTAAATAAAGAAAAAAATTAGTTACATTTTAAAGTCTGCAAATATGAACCCTAAAAATGACCTACACCGTTATTTGTCTTTTTACTTTTGGTAGAAGAATCACGGCAGTGTGGCAGTTATCCTAAAACACACATAAGAGATTACTTTTAATGTTACCTGATGCCTTGTCTCCACAGACTACGCAAAGGTCAAAGACTTTATTTGGTCCCTGGTCTGAGGAAGAATGATCTGTTAAGAGCTTAAAAAAAAAAAAGTCGTTGTTACTCAACAATGCTCTCATGATACTAGGAAATAAGACAGCCGTCAGTCTTGCTTGTCTGCTATTTGCTTTCTTTTTCACAAGTTAACCTTAAGCCCCGAACCTATAGAAAGCTGAGAACCTTTCCACATGGAATAACATGACAAAAATAAGCTAATCATGCTGTAAAAAGATGACTCCGAACTTCTTAAACAAAAAAGAGGTTGTAAAGAAACAGTTTGTTTACGTAACGAACTACTATCATGCAAACAGGGCAGCTACAGAAAAGCACAGACTCTCAGGACCAGGCCCAGCCGCAGGTGACATGCAGGCGGAGAGCATGGAGTCTGACGGCCACAGCACCACAGCCACCAGGAGGGGCCGCAGCCACCAGGAGGGGGCCGCGGGAGGGCCGCGAGCAGTCACCAGTCACCAGGCATAGGAGGCAGGATGCTGGCAAGGGAATACTGGTTTCTTCTTTTAGGTTCCTCTTTCAACCCCTTCATCATTTTCTTTCAATCTTTTGAAACGTGAATCAACTCAGTTCAGCCCCCAGAATGTGCTGTGGCTTTGGTAAATACTCTCCCTGCTTTCCAACAGCTGTCAGGGCAACCCTTTCTCCTGATTCCTTCACTCAGGAGTCTGAATGCCGTCAGGGGTGATTCTGGTTTCAAGAACTTTAAATGGTGCCTAAGAAGACTATCCCTCACTATGCAGTATGTGGCAGCATTTCGTCTTCTACCACAAGATCAGTCCTCTTAAACAAATCACACCTATTGCAAAGGGCACTCATGTTTGATCTGTTATTGTTCCTCAGGGCGGAAGAGACACTGAGAAGTTAAAGAACTCGCCCCATCCCATCTCAGGTTATCAGACAAGAAACAAAATCTCAGTCCAAGGGAATTCCAACTAGTGCCCGTGTTTCTCTCACTGCCTTCAGAGAGGCATGCAAAGTGCCAACCGTATCTTTATTTTTAAATAAAGAGCTAACCCTACAACAGAGAAACCTGACAAGTACTACTCCAGCCAGGTGACCCAAGCCACCCACCAGTGGAAGATCGTGTTGATGTGTCTCTTGTGTGCAATGTGACAAAATGGCACTGAATCCCTGCACTCTTCCTCTCCAAAACCCACAAGCCCACCTCAACAGGAGAAGAGTGCTGGAGGAAGTCCAGTGGTGGCTCATCTCACAATACACCTGTTAAGGTCATCAAAACAAGAGATGCTGCAGGAGCTGCAGTCGCTAAATGTAATGCGGCATCCTGGAGGGGATCCCAGAACAAAAGAGGCCAAGCAGCAAAACCCAAGAAGCCGGAACATCTACAAACTTCAGTTAACAATGCAGCAATATTGTTCACTAATTGCAACACAAGCATCAAACTAACATAACATGTTAAAAACAGTGGAAGCTGCGGGTTGAGCAGGTAATGTGAGAACTCTGCACTCAATGCTCAGTTTTTCTACTACGTATCTAAAATGGTTTTAAAAAACTAAGTCTGTTAATTAAAAAACAAAGAAATTAAGGTAAGTATGATATAAACATTTGTGTGACTTTTGTCCAAAAAAACAACTTATAAATCCTTACCTGTGATCCTATCCATTTTCTGCCTTAGTTTCCAAAAATAATACAAACATTGTCGGAAGAAGAGGATATATCAGGACACATAGGCAAAATTTTACATCTTACGAATTAGACGTTTTCCCACTCTTATAGGGACGTTCTTTCATCAATTTTTCATCACAAAGCATGGAACTTTATTTTAAGTAGACAAGCCTCCAAAAAGTTTCTGGAAACAAACTTTAAGGTGCACTGTATTTGCGTACAGTCTTAGCAACCAGCAATACAGACACCTACATAACCACAGGCAAGCGGTGGGCAAAAGTGTCAACTGGGGCTTTCAAGAATCATGTATAATTCTATATTCTAGCAAAAACTGAAACGATGTCATGTTAACCCACACGGCTGACAGGGTTCCAGCAACAAGCAGGCCGTGCAAGACGCCTTGCTGCGTCATGCAGATGTGCCCATGGGGAGGCACGGGCTGATGCCAGCAGCCCAGGAAAGGCTTCTTCACCTGGCAGCTTCCTGTTTGTGGCAGGCACTTGGTTCTGGAAGCTGCAGCTACGGAGGCTGCTCTTGGCTCGACACTTCCCAATGCAGAAGCAGGAGGTGTCTGGAAGCCGGCTCTGCAGCACTCTCCAGCCAGCAGGGACTTCTGAAAATCTGGCGTGGCCTGCCTCTTCAGCCTCCTGGGTGATCCCGTGAGCTCTCTACATCCTTTATCAAACCCCCTTCTCGTATCATACTAATATAACCGTGGAATAGCAGCGGAAGCCAGCCAGAGCGGAACTTCCTGCCTGTACAAAGAACCCCTCAAAATACATGGGGTGAGGATTGTAGGAGAGAACAGCGGCCCATGGGAGAAAGTGGCTACCAAAAGCGCTGCCGCGACTTTTCGCCAGATTCCCCGCACTGAATACGCAGGCATCAAAGCCGGAATGGCAGGATGCACGACAGGCTCTGTACTGCTTTTAAGCGTAAGAGGAAAAGGCACGACTACAGCTGTGTACCTGGAGGTGCTGTGTGGACAGGTCAGGAGTGGTCAGAAATAACTGGTTGACACCCGCCGCGTCTGGAGTGGTGAGGAAGACGTTTCCTGGAGCCGAATCCTGTCTGGCCAGAATGACTTTGCTGGAAGTGGAGCCATCGCGGTTGGTGAGAATGAACTGCTTGCCTTGGGCACCGCGACCGAGGGCTGTCACGAGCTGGACCTTCTGCCCAGTTGGCTGTCCTGCAACAATCTAACACCAGCAAGTCAAGTTAGCAGGCGGCTCATTTGTTCTTCTCTAATAACACAATTTCATCCTACCTTCAAAGCTAAAAACGCACACCATTACATACATATTCAGCAAGCGTGTGCACACACGTGACCAATTTTTTCTTTAAATGACCAATTCTACTTCCAAAAGATTTCATCTTACAGAAATAAAAGAAAGCACAACAGTAAGAACACCTAACCTCACTGTTTGGTTCCTTCCATCCCACCTTCAATTCAGACACACGCTGGGGCCATTCCAGCAGCTGCTCAGCATCCTGGGATGTGACAGTGAGCAAAACCAAACCCTCGCCCTCATGAAGCCTTTTTGTGATGGGAAAGGTAGCGAATAAATAAGCAAGTAATGCCAGGTGTGCACGTCTAGGAAGAAAGATCAGGCAAGGTGAGACACCAACACAACACAAGTGATGAGGAAGGCACTCTTTAAGGGCTGGCACTTTTGCACAGACCTGGGAGAAGAAACAGACCAAGGCTCAGGACCACCTGGGGCCAAGCATCCCAGAGAAAAGCAGAACCCAGAAGGCCCGGGCAGGAGGAAGTGTATCTGACACATGCAAGGTGCACGGCATGACAGGAGAGTGAAAAGGCGGAGGGCAGGGATTACGGCAGACCTGGCCTGAGTGACAGCCAAGTCAGACCTCCGAGACTTTGCAAGGCCACAGGAGCCAAGGCTTCCTACTGTGTGCAATGGACAGACTCTGGAGGGCACGTTTACCCAGATATTCAGAAGCCTGAGGCAAGAGAACCACTTTAGCCCAAGTGTTTGAGGCAGCCTGGGCAATAGTTAGACCCCATCTTAAAAAAAAATGCCAAAGGACAACCCCTTCTGGTGCCCTCCCACTGTGGGAGCTTTTCTGTCCTCTCAATAAATCTTAATTTCAAAAAAATAAGGCAAAAAGCAGTCATTTTAAATGTAGTGTGAAGAACAGACTGGGAATGTTCAAGAGTAAAATTAAGGGAGCTTATAAAGGATGCTATTGCAGATACGACCGATATCTGGCGATTAGACGAGGGGGGACCCAAAAGCCTGGGATCCCCTTTGGGAGGGCAGGCCCCTTAGAGCACACTCAGAACCTGTTCCTCCAGATCCAACGGTCAAACACAGTTTTGACCTGGAAGTTTTTAGAAGCTGCATCTCCATTTGCAGAAGAAACATCCTGGGTTGTGGGAAACAGGCGCCTGGTTAATCCACGATGACAATATACCTGCCCACACCGCGCTCTTTTCGGCAGTTCTTGACCGAAACCCCACGCTGTCCCTAGTCACCTGATCTCACCTCAAGTGACATTTTTTTGGTCTCCCAGGATGAAAAAAGTCCCCAAAGGGAAACATTTTGCTAATGTGGAAGACATGAAACAAAATACGGCTGAGGCACTAAAAGGCATCAAAATGAACAAGTTCAAAAACTGTTTTGAGCAGTGGAAAAAGCATCTCGATAGGTGCACTGTATCAAACAGAGAGCACTTTGGAGGTGACCCAAGTTTAAACATGTGAGAATAAACACACAATTTAAAAAAATAAAGTCTAGGTTTTGGGGAGGTTCCCCCTCACATATGGGCAGAGATATTGGCCAAAAAAAGGGCAGCAGCCAAGCTGGGGATAAAAATAATTGGATTTAAGATTTTTTTTAAGGAGAGAAAGGTGAAGGACACACTGAAGGGCTGGGGTGCAACATGGAGAAGGAAGAGTCAAGGATGACCGCACGACCCGGGCCTCGGGGACGGGCACAGAAGCGCCAGCTGTGGAGATGCGGTAGCTTGGGAAAAGCCAGTTCACTAACAAAGAGCTTCTGATACAGAGCAAGTATTTTCCAGAGTAAACGTCACTGAGCCAATTAAATTCCTTGGTTCAATTTTAAGACAGCAATGTTGGTTTGTTTCAAAATTTGTTCCTTTTTTTTGAGTTGGAGTCTCACTCTGTCCCCCAGACTGGAGTACAGTGGCCGCCCCGGCCACCGCAGCCTCGACCCGCTGGGCTCCGGCGATCCTTCCGCCTCAGCCTTCCGAGTAGCTGGAATTACAGGCGCGCGCTACCACGCCCGGCTGATTTTTTGATTTATTGTAGAGATGAGGTCTCGCTGCCCAGGCGGGTCTCGAATCCGCGGATTCAGGCAATCCACTCACCTCAGCCTCCCAAAGGCGCGGGATTACAGGCTGAGTCACTGAGCCCAGCTTGTTTCATTTCTTTTACTCCAATTATTTTCGGCAGATTCTTTTTAATGCAAAATTTGAAACAAAGTTCTGATTCACTGAGTCTGTCTAAAGCAAATTATACTGACTACGGTTGCTGTCAATTTGAGTTTTCTTTGTTGGCCATTATTACTACCAAGTGTTGTTTTTCTGGGCAGAGTTTTTAACTGTTGTCAATTTTATTTTACACAGGTTTTTTTCTACCAAGTTCAGACTCTACCTGTTCCCAACAATTTTTGCAATTTTCTTTTTTTTTTTTGAATTGGAATCTTACTCTGTTGCCTAGACTGGAGTGCAGTGGCACACTCCCAGCCACCACGGCCTCAACCTGCTGGGCTCCTGTGATCCTTCTGCCTCAGCCTTCTAAGTAGTCGGAACTACAGGCACGCGCTACCATGCCCAGCTAATTTTTGATTTATTATAGAGACGACATCTCATCAAGTTGGCCGGGTATGCAATTTTCAATGATACCTACAAGATGTGATTTTTGAACTAATTTATCTATAAAACATTTTGCCATGTAAAGTTTCAGCTGTGGTCTATTTAATTTTGACTTATTTTTTATCAGCAATATTCATTGTGAATCAAATAAAAGACTGGTGGCTCCCACTTATTTCTTAAAGACCTTCAGGGGCATGCATGGTGCAACCATCACTGGGTCGGAACATTCTGCTTAGAGAGTAAAAGGAGACTGACTGCAGCATACTAATGCCACTAATCGAAAATCAAAACAATCCAAATACCCTTCCACAGAAAAGAACAATAGGTTATGGAAACAGCTCCTAGGTCTTAGGAGCCCTTTACAGTCTAAAAAAACCAATGAGGGTCCCAAGGAGTTTTTGTTCATGTGGGTTGTAGCTACTGATATTTAACATATTAGAAACCAAAGAAAAATTTCAAAACACTTGGTTCATTTAAAAACAACAGCCCATCAAATGTTAACATAACTTTACATTTCGTGACAAGTTTATTTTCCAAGTAAACAAAAATGCAGTGGGGAGAATGGCAGCATTTTATATCTTTGCAAACTGCTGTAATGTCTGGTTTAATAGAAGCTGAAATCCTGTTCTGCTTCTTCATTCAATCTGTTGAAATACCTTGTTTTGGCCAAAATTAGACAATCCGGTTTCACAGTTACTGTCTGAGAGGGGAAAGACAGTCGTAAAGGCCTTTTCTAACTGGGTTGACTGCTCTTCGTACTACACCGAGCTGGACAAAAAGTAGCAGCAGCTCGAAGGTAGGATGTGACGAAGGATCAGAAACGATACTGAAATCCGCTGGTCAACGCTGCAAGCGGAATGGGTCTCTTACTCAAGCATGATGCTGTACTTGGCCATGTGGAAAATAATGGCTCCTGAGTTATGCAAACCTTATACATACTCATACATTTCATCACAAAATACCACCACATGTGTAGCCCGTGGAAGACTCCATGGTATACTTGTGAGAGAACAATAGCGGAAAGGCAAACAACATCTTTGTATTCTTGCGAAAATGGCTTTGAAACACTCTGAAAGCGTCCCCAGATGATACTCAGAGAACCTCTAGAGGATGGTACCTCTTACTCAGGAACAGGACATATGCATGTAAAAAATGAAGATGTCTGCAATGACACTGAACTAACTCCTACTGGTCCACCAAAACTGGCCTCAGGTTTTGTGCCCTTCGAAGAACATTCCCGGGCCAGGTCCCAGCACTCTACGACTCTTGACTGGCTGTTTCTGTGCTCCCACAGGGTCCTGTACAATCACCCACCACGGCACTACCTCCCAACAATCTCTCACAGGTGGGAGACGCCATCTTAAGTCAGGGGATGTCTTCATGTCTGGACCTCCAGACCCACACACACATTAAGAGTAAGTCATAAAAGTCTGCTGAGTCAGTGAATGAACTGTAAACTAGACATACCTCTCCCATCTGCTGTTCAATAATTTGATGTGCAATTTCTTCTATGGTTGCCATGATCTAACTGCCAAAATGTCCTGCCAAAAATAAAAAGATGCTTTCACAATTATACTCACAAAAAAAACATACAGAAGAACTTATGAATGAAATTATGATATTTAGGATTTGCTTCAAAATAACATAGTTGGGTGGGTAGGGTTGGGAGGGAACAGAGAAGACAAGATTGGTCATGTGTTCCTGACTACAACAGTCAATTGGTGAGGCTTATATATAGGGGTTTACGAAACGCTTTTGAACCACCTGCTGAAAACACCATTTCACACCCCGCAATTTCACTTTTCAAACATAATGAGGTCGAAACAGGAGAACTCTCATTGACACGAGTTGCAGTTCATTGATTTCAATAAGGGCAGCCCTATCTGTGAACCAACATACCACTGCAACTATCTAACACAAAAATCCTTTGTAAAAACTGACAAAATAACTGCACGCATTAAAAGATTTCTCACTGGGTGCAACGTCAGCTGCTTGGGAGGTTACCGAGAGAGGATTGCCCGAGCCCAGGCAGTAGCGACTGTGGGGAGCTGTGATCATGCCACTGCACCAGGTCTGGGCGACAGACTGAGACTCGACACAAACATATGCATTTCTCTCGCATTTTGTGAATGTCCTTCACAAGTGGCAACTTCTTACATATTAGGGTTATTTTGAACTTAATGCATAACCATCTCCAAATGGATTTGAGCCTGTAAGAACGGGCTGATGGTGACTTTTGCTTTTTCTCTGTATCATCTAGTCAAGAATATAAAATTTTATTTTTTTGGCCGGGCTCGGTGGCTCAGTCCGTAATCCCAGCGCTTTGGGAGGCCGAGGTGAGTGGACTGCCTGAGCCCGCAGCTTTGAGACCCACCCAGGCAACTTGGCGAGACCTCATCTCTACAATAAATCAAAAATTAGCCGGGCATGGTAGCGCATGCCTGTAGTTCCAGCCACTTGGAAGGCTGAGGCAGAAGGATCGCTGGAGCCCAGCAGGTAGAGGCTGCAGTGGCCGGGAGCGTGCCACTGCACTCCAGTCTGGGCGACAGAATGAGACTCCAACTCAAAAAATAAAAATAAAAATAAAATTTTATTTTTGACTTTACATGTTGTTTATAATGTCATATATCCACTAATATTCTGCTATTCTATTAATTGCCAAGTTATGTTTTTCTCCCTTGTAATTATGCTGTAATTGTTAAATGTGTCAATTAGTTGAGCTAAAAGCACACTCACTACTCTGCTTGATCCTTCAGTTATCTCTCACTAGACTGAAATCAACAGAGGGGACAGCCTTGCCCTCCTGGGGCTGTGCCTGAGCCCCGATGACAGTGGCTCCCTGGTGGACCTCTGATGCCCCTTTGGGGTCATTCCTCCTTCCCCTTGAGGACAATGTTCATGGCCCAACTGCAGAATTCCAGAAGTCCAACAGGCTTCCTTCATTTTATCCACCTCTGCTACAGCCATCCCAAGCGTGCCAGCCGTGCTACTTTGTTGACCTCCCATGCAATTCGTGGAGGCCCAGGTCACAAGACAGGAGCCCCCAAAGGTCTCTCACGACGGGCCCACCTCTACGCCTGCCTTCTGCTGCACCGGCTGAGGGGACCCACAAGTCATGCCTGTACCTCTTCAGAGATGACAGTCCAGTCACACCCTTGACAGTCTCTCTCAAGCATGGCTTTCTCAGGTTTTGCAATATGAATAGGTTAAGGGTTTCCAAGTCCTCAAGCTCTGGCTCTGTTTCCTGAACAATTCCTTCTTCGATGTATCTCTCCTCGTCCACATTTTACTGCAAGCAGCGCGGAGGTGGCTTCAGCAGTGTGCGCAGAAATCTCCTCCTTCAAGCCTCCCAAGCTCCACCTTCCGCACACCAAGGGGACAGAACGCTGTCGTCACAGGATCACCTCTTCAACAAGGCTCCCTGTCCTCCAGTGCCTGGTAAGTTTTCGTCTGAGACAACCCCAGAAACACCTTTGACGCACATCCCCACCATCCTCCTGTTGACGATGGCCTGCTTGTTTCTAGGGTGAACGCAGTATCTCTGTGGCTCTTCTCGTGCCGTCCCACGCCCTCGCCAGCATCACCTCAAACTTTCTCTACAAGGCAATCCAGGTTTTGAAAGCACGTGCCTCTGAGCTCCTGCAGCCCTCTACACACCGCCAAGTCCCAGGTTTTCAGGCTGGCCCCAACGTCTGTACCGGTTTGCTCCAGCTGCCAACCACAGATGGAGCTTCCTCTCACAGCCCTGGAGGCTAGACGCTCGAGACGGCAAGTCTCTCTCCCTGGCTCAACACGGCTGCCTTCTCTGCGTCTTCCCATGGTCTTCCCTCTACATGCCTACGTCACAATCTCCTCTTCCTGTAAGGACACTGGCCACTCTGGATCCATGCTGCTTAATCACCTCTCTAAAGGCCGCATCTCCAAATATGGCGCACTGGAGGTGCTGGGGCTTAGGACTTCAATGTGTGAACTTGGGGCGGGGAGCACAGTTCAGCCTGTTAGCACTCGGGCATAGTTGGGCACGGTGGCTCATGCCTGTAATCCCAGCACTTTGGGAGGCTGAGACGAGAGGACTGCCTGAGCCCAGGAGTTCAAGACCAGCCTGGGCAACTTGGTGAGACCTCGTCCCTACAATAAATTAAAAAACCAGCTGGGTGTGGTGGCACACGCCTGCAGTTCCAGCTACATGGAAGGCTGAGGCAGAAGGATTGCCTGAGCTCAGGAGACTGAGGCTGCAGTGCCCGTGAGTGTGCCACTGCACTCCAGCCTGGGCTACGTAGTGAGACTCTGACTCAAAACAAAACAAAACCACCCTCAGGCATAAACCCACAAAGAAATGTGCAAGATCTGTATAAGGAACGCATTAGAATGCTATCTAAAGACAAGAAAGACGGCACCTGGAAGGACCCATCAGAAAATGGGGACAATGACCACCTCCCAGGAAGGGACTGAAGGCTGGGAAAGCTTAATGGGAGGCAGCTTCATCCTCACTGAATGAGTGGGCTCGATCCTTTGACATTTTGCTTAAATTCAAGTATTACCAAAAAGTTACTTAAAAGTGCAAAAAAAAGGTAAGAGAAATCTTTTCCAGAAACCCTAACATCAGCATAAGTGTATTAGTGCATTGGAAAAAAGTTCTTAATGAAAACATAGGCAGTTAAACTCTTTGTATACAATACTGTTCAATCGAACGTTGTTACTTAAATAATAATACCAACAGAAAAGCCTGAATTCAGTCTCAGTACAATTATGTGAATTAACAATTACACCAAGATGGGCTATTACTTAGAAGCCAGTGTGTAAGTGTGTTACGTGTGTGTGTGTGTGTGTGTGTGTACGTGTGTACACATGCACAGGCTGGTGTTTACCGAACTCCATCATCAGCGGTGTTACAGGTACCACGCTGCTAATGGACCTGAATGCTACTATTCGTGGAATGGTATTCTTGAGCACTGAGTTCACAGCTATTCTGATTTTTTTCTGTTTAGGCAAAAGGAGCCAGATACTGCAATGGGTTTCTAACCTTCCCCCCACGTTTTTGGAGTCACAGATGCCTCAGAGAATGTCTAGAGCACCATACCCTCCTCAGAAAGTCTGGACAGACACTTACTGGGTGGACTCCGTACCTGAGATCCAACATGTCCATTCCCCAGGCCTGTGTAAACTCTGTGCTAACCACCATACCCCAGAGCCCTGGTCCCAGACGGCTTTCTAACGCCACATAACCCAAGCTGGTTAGCAAAAGACGACTCAGGGAAGGATTCGAGAATCAGTATCTCACTGAGTGTCTGAATTTGTGTCAGGTTAAACAGGAGCAAGAGGACTCTGCTAAACAGATTCCGGCCAGAAAGTGACGAGGAACCCCCTTTTCCCTGACCCCTCCCCAACAAAGCACCTTCTGCTGGGACCCCAAGCTCTTTCCCACATGCTCTCTGCAAAACTTGTGCGTATCTGTCAGCCAACTTGTACCTTAAGATTCAAGTCCAGAAAGGCACAGGTATGGTGATACAAAGTCACACCTACAACCCTATTTTCATCATGATCTGTTCTCCCTCCTAAACTCTCCATGAATTTAACCCATACTTCTGTGTAAACAGAGCTACGAAATAATGTAAGTACATCGATCAACCTTGTCCACTTGAGAATTTTTTTCACTAAATTAACTAAAACGTCTATCTAAATGTATTGCTTTACTAAAATTAAGATAGTCCTAGGTATGGTGGCTCATTCCTAAAACCCCAGCACTCTAGGAGGCCGAGGCAGAAGGACAGCTTGAGACCAGGAGCTCGAGATCCTGTCTCAAAAAAATAAAAAAATTAGCTGGGCGTGGTAGTGCATGCCTGCAGTCCCAGCTACTTGGGAGGTGAGGAGGAAGGACTGCTTGAGCCCAGGAGTTCAAGGCTGTGGTGAGCTGTGATCATGCCACTTGCTCCAGGCTGAGTGACAGAGTGAGACCCTGCCAAAAATAAATTAAGGATATTTACACAGGATAGGATTACTCATCCGAATAGACAAATCAAAAAATTGGCCAAGGGAAAATGATGAAATTGGTGAGAATGAAATAAGTATTCACTATGATAGCAGCTATTTATGAGAGCATGGTAGTCGCTGATTATGACAGAAGCTAATATAAGCAAATAAACCAAAAAGCCAGGAGGGAGGAAGAAATACAGTGTTGCTAGGATGGTGGCAGAGGCGCCCTTGGGAAGCTGGGGCAGGGTCTCGGCTGCCGCCAGGAGTCTCCCGTTTCTACCCAGCTTCCCTCATGTGGCTTCTTCTTGCAGTGGAACATTAGGAAAGTAAAATTAGTTGTCTCTAATTTTAAAATCCTGGTAAAGGATTCATCCTGACTGGCAGAGCGTAGGTTACAGGCTCAGGTCTTAATCACTATAGGTGGGCCAGGAAGAGGGAAGGGAGCTATGATGACTGGCAGCTTCCATTTTGGGCAGGCCCGTTTCCCAAGAGACGGGACCAGCATAGACACGGCTCCCAAGGCTGTCACCACAAGCCAGGCGACACGTCCATGTACACGGCACACAGAGCT